TTGAACTCATATGGATACGGTGTAAATCTTACAGTGTATGGCCTGGTTTGTTGCAGGCCAACTTTTTGGCCCCGGCCATGGTACGTAGTTCCGTTCCCGAGTAACACATAGCGGCTGATCTGAGTGAGAGTGCAAATTCACGGGCTACGGGAGGGGGGGGTTAGAATGCGACCCCTTTTTCATCTTAGTTTCCACATCATTTCAAAGCTCTGTGAATTGCTGAAATTTTCGGGTACCCCCCAGGAGGCCCATCGCGCGGCAAGAAGGCCGAGTCGGCGGACGAGTCGCGGCGCGTGATGTGCGATGAAGGACGTGCAATGGGACATTCTATTTAACTTGACGCGATTTCCCTAATACGCGCGCGACTCGTCCGCTGACTCGGCATTCTTGCCGCGCGACGGGCCTCTGGGGGCGGATACCGAAATTCCAAAGGTTGCTCTACACAGAAGGCAAAAAATCGTATAGCTGAAATCACGAGGCCCAGGAGTCTGAATTGCGCTTAAAGAGTGCTTGTTCAGTTCCGTATATCTTATTCAGCAATTTTTTCGTGGTGGTGTTGCTACATCCACCTCTTATCTTACCTGAATTGTTTTGTATTTTCTCCATTTCTGTGTCTCAAAATTGATTTTTAGGAAATGAATTCGGTCATCCAGAATGGTTTGGATTTCCCACGTATCGGCAACAATGAGTCATTCCATTATGCTAGGAGACAATTTAATTTAGCTGATGATGAACTTCTGAGGTACTTTGGTCGGATTTATTATTACTTAAAAGGCAGCGGTTACGCTAGGTTTAAATGTGGTTTGGAGGGGACGAGGGGGTCCTCAATAGTACATCAGTGGCGAAAAAAGCAAAGAAATCCGTCAAAAATAAGCAAAATAGTGCCCCTTTGATTGCCCTTTCATTTTCGATCATGGATGAGCGACGGTAAAGACTGACGTTGTTCGGACGTGTTAACCCCGATAGCTGCCATCATGCCAACAAGCATAGTGTTTCGATTGATAAGGCATAACATGGGCAAGATGGAAGATACAGCCGCTAGATGGGAAAAGATCATCCAAAATGAAAAGCCAACAGCAATCAGTCCATCCAGATCATCAACAAAACCAGTGGGCGGGGCGGCGCATGGGGCGGAAGGGCGCAATGGTCCTGCTCAGCAACCACAGCACTGTTCGCAGTGGAAGCGCCACACATCGCTTCCTTGGCGGCCTGCTAATTGCTCTGTGGGGAGCAGGTTCTCCGCAGATGTGAAAATTCCTTTCCGTACCTACTTCCTTTAATCCAATCGGATTTTTTCGATTCGAATATTAAATACTTTTAAATATATAAAAATATTTCAATATTAAATAGGGACACTTTCAATATTGCAGATATAAGTGGTTAAATAAATGGGATGAAGAGATGAATAGGCTTGAAGAGGCCTTCAGGTTTCCTGCATGCGGACCCCGTGAGGCTTTCAATTTTGTTTCAATTGATTTCGCCTATTTTTCCTCAAATAATTGGGTAAATTCTTATATTCAATCCATTTGTTAAGGCATAACGTCTCGGTCAAGCACCATGCATACAAAATGATTTGCTTCGAAGAGCTGGTGTCGGAATGTTCGTATTCAACTTTCCATACAACGAAAAGCTTCACCGACTATAAAGTTGGCGTGGAAATGCCTGGAATGTGAGTTATTGGGGTTACAGTTTCTGTCGGCCTTCTGCGCAGGGTCAGCCTTGGTTTGGGAACGTCATAGGTCCAAATTCTAGGTTTTAGTATCGAAAGAACCCGAATTAGTTACCATACGCATGAGCACTAGCTGTTGAAGGGGGCGCCTACTCGCTGAGTAAAGGGCAAAAGGGTCGTGGTAAGTGGTATCGCTAACACCCGGGATGGATTAATAATCGCCCAGACCAATCCAGCCTTTCACGTCTACGAGCCTCCTTAGTTGGTCAGAACCCACAAAGGTGTTAAGGTTTAAAACAGTACTCTTTAGCACAAGAATGCTAGGTTGTAGGCAAAGAACACGCTTGAGACGGGTTGTACCCGGGAGAATAATATTCCTGTGATAACCCGTCCCTCAGCGCGCGGAAAAGCGAGAGATGCGAGTTCGACTCCCGCCTCTGTAAGAGGAAGTGTTTTGCTCGTAACCCGGCTCCCTCGTGGTAATTGCGTATCGTTACCCGCGACCAAAAACACCGGCCCAAAAACGCTGGCAATCAATCGCAAACACTGCCGTGTATTTGGCTATAGCTTCTCCAATTCATATGTAGTATGTGCGCCAGTTGCCATTCAACAGGCACTACGAACCAGATTGAATTGGATGCGTGGCGTAATCCAAAAAATTGATGTTGAGTCTTGATAAATATTCTCTTTGTTTCAGCTACAAAATGGTGTTGAACAGTGATGAGGAGCGATTCGGTGGTCACAATCGTCTGCAGCTCGGTTCCGTGCACCACACCTTCCCCGAAGGCTACAATGGTCGCCGAAATCACCTTTTGGTCTATGCTCCAGCACGGACCTGCCTTGTTCTGAGACTCTGAGCTGAACCTGCTGAGTGATTAACATCGTTATCCGAAACTTTTTTGGAAGGAATTGTTATAATTGTTTCTATTGTATTGAAAGTTGTTAGGATGACTTCTCAGCATATGTTTCATTCGAACAGAGTGCTCAATGATTAGCCTTGACACAAACGGCCATAGCTCACGGGACGATCCAGAGTTCTACGTCTGCATTTTTTTTATCTTTGTCAACACTGTTCTTAGCAACTTTAGCGTTTTTATCAATTTTACCCAAATATGACTCAGAACGAGAAAATTACTGTACTACTGTATTGGAATAAATAAATCGCTACACTATT